AAAATAGTACATTTTCTCATTTTACACATTTGATATATTTTCTATTCTCTATTGTGAATAAGCTATTGGTTGAAGAGATTTGCAAAATGATTGTATTCTGTTTTTATGTAGATTTTACACAGCATCCCAAAAAAAATGTTTTGGAATTGGGTATAATTTATAATGAACACACACACACACAATTATCTTTATACATACACTGTTTACACATACTCATACACTCACAATCCTATTTAGATCACGTTTCTGTACTTACAGTGTCTTGAACCCATGGCCTGCGGGGGCAAATAACTCCACTCGATCTGTTCCAGGTGCCCCAGTAAGCTGGACGATGATTCTCGCAGAACTGCAACAGCTTCATCTTCCCAAACATTCTACGTTCTGGTACCACACATTCAAGAGTAATATTTTCATGTACGGTTGTATCAGTTTCTATCACAACCTGTACATCATCTCCGTCACTGTCAAAGATAACAAAAATTCACATGGTTAATAAGTAGGGATGCACCGATACAAGCATCGGTATCGGCGGTGATACCGAGTATTTGCATGAGTACTCGTGCAAATACTCCCGATACAAAAACGAGTACTTGTGCCGCGTCCACCATCATCAGGGACCCGAACCCGCCGCACACAGGAACTCCATCGCGTCTTCAATGAAGCAAGATGGCCGCGAACTCCTCCAAGTCCTCAGTCATCTGCTCCATTCTGACCTCTTCTCCCGCTGATTGGCGGATTGGATGATTGACAGGCTTCCTCACCAGTCAGGAGTGACTGGTGAGGAAGCCTGTCATCATCCAATCGGCCAATCAGCGTGAGAAGAGGTCAGAATGGAGCAGATGACTAGGCTGTGACACGGAGTGGCTGAAGCAGACGGAGAAGACGACACAGCAGGTTAATACTGCTGCACCTCATGGGGCTGGGCACAAAAATGCTGTTTACCGGCATATATTATTTAAAAAAAAGAAAATAACTATGTAGATATTGCTAACTAAGGCTTGTATCCCCCTAGTGGTCAAAATAGATGAGCACATGTCCAGACTGCAGACCAGAACACAGTGTGGCACAGCTATATCCAATTCTGCATACCTGGCTTTATATTATAAGAAAATGTAATATAAAGCCAGTTATACAGAATTGGATACAGCGGTGCCACACTATACAGTGTTCTGGACTCTGGACATGTGCTCATCTATTTTTCCCACTATGGGGATACAAGCCTTAGTTAGCAATGGCATGATATTTATTAATTTCATTATTCAATGTCTTTTTTTTCTATATTATAAACGTTATATTTTTTTTTAAAAAGACATTGAATAATGAAATTGATATTTATCATGCCATTGCTAAGGCTTGTATCCCCATAGTGGGGAAAATAGATGATCACATGTCAAGACTCCAGAACAGTGTATTATGGTATAGTGTGGCACAGCTGTATCCAATTCTGCATACCTGGCTTTATATTATAAAAGTTCTTATAATATAAAGCCAGGTATGCAGAATTGGATATAGCTGTGCCACACTAGAGTGTTCATGTTCTTCAAATTATTAAGCAACTGACCTAAAATCATGATTTTGTATCGCTTTAGAAAAAATGTGACATGTCCCTTTAAGAAAAAGTATTGGTAATTGGTATCGGCGAGTACTTGAAAAAAAGTATCGGTACTCGTACTTGGCCTTAAAAAAGTGGTATCGGTGCATCCCTATTAATAAGTAACACAAAAAACAAGTGTATGCAAGACTACATTCACACTTAAAAGCCGCACAACATGAAAAATTTATGTACAGTTCATTCCCACAGGATTTGCTGGGAAAACTCAGATTTAGCAAGTAAGGGTTTTTATTTTAGAGCACACCAAACCAAAATGTTTTATCCTTTACTTTGTTGTGAGGCAGAGAAAAATGCCAATAGACAGTGCATACCAACACAAGGAAAATATCACATCACATGAGACTTGACAGCTGATATGAGAATTACCATCTTTCAGCCCATGATTCTTGGGGAGAAACAAATGCATCTAAGGTCACCTTAACCTTCAATATTGCCTGCAAACATTACCAAATTTAGTTAATCTTTCAAAGTTTAGGATTAGCCAAGTAAATAAAATGTAGTATTTTTTGGGTGTAAGGCTAAAAAATTTTGTTTTAAAGAAGTCACAAATCTGTTAATATTAACTGTTAACAAATTAGAAATCTGCTCATCCTGCAGAATTAAAAAAAAAAAAAAATGCACCAAGTACAGTAAATATCTTATTTGAAAAAGCATACCTTCTACATATCATACCTTACAAGGGGCACTTTGGGTATCACAGTGCGTCCCATCCTGCGTGGTTTCCGAGTTTTTAATGCCAACAAAAAATTTGCCTTCGAATTTTGCTCTTTAATGAGCTTGCCTAGCTGCTCAGATTTCTCTGCTTTAAACTCCACCCGACACAAAGGAGCAACAGCCATATTCTTTTTAATTTCAAAAGGTGCAAATTTTCCACATGATTCTGCAAATGTCTGAATAGAAAAACAAGAAAGATTAGGGAGAACTAAATAAACTGAAGCTCAGACTTTACAAAGATTTCCCACATAAATCATCAACAGTAATATCTTGTTGGCAGTGTTGAGAACAGTGAATGGACATGCAAGAACTACAAAATATTTAATTTTTTTTCCATATTCCGTGTAATTAAATGTTGAGCTATGATTGATGACTTTAAATGCTCAGGAGGAATTACTACACAAGACGACCCATACCGCAGACATCACCAGTGGCGAAAGAAAAAAATAATCTATTACATTGTTACATAGCTGATAGATCGGGGAGGGGT